GAGGGGGGCAGACTGAATTTGCTGGTTTGAACTTCAGGAAGGAAAATAAGTAAAGAGAGAGAGAGAGAGAGAGAGATTGAAAGAGTCTCCCAGGCAGCCTGATCCCATTAGCTCCGTCCTTGGGTTGCATATTTATACGGTCTAGGAGGTGAACAGATGGACTATCAATTTAATTCCATCTTCAACACCATCAGAGATTGATTTTCTACTCGCTTTTAATTTTGCCATAATTAATTAGATCATTACAACTGTTTTCTATTGATCTCCCTATTTAAACCTCAGATGCAAAGGGACTTCAGCAGATCCTTTAAAAACTCAGAAGGGAAAAGGAACAGAGGGGGCTACAAACTTTCTGAGGGCTTTATTCGGTTTTTACTTAGAAGGTTTTCATTGCAGATCAGACAAAATGCCGCGCGGCCTTTTGTTTTATGTGTTTTTTTTCTTTTTCTTTTTGACGTCTTTACATTTTTGGTAAATCTTTATAAATACATCTAACGTGGAATGTGTATAATACAGAGAATACAGGATAGAGCTGATTTTAATATAGATTTCTTTCATATTCCCATCATGTGTCTGTATCTCTGTGTCTAGCTATTATATGTATGTGTACAAAGCTGGATCTGGTGTTTGCCAGGCGGGTGCATACCTACGTTTGGTGTGTGGATGTCTTTGTGCATGGAGATGCGTGTGTGAGAGTGTTTTTGTGCGTGTGTGTGTGTTTCCAAGCCCCACTGTCGGTGGGGAATATTCCCTTCTATGGCTCGATCAGAAATGACAAAAGAAAAGAACAGCAGCAAACAGCTCCAAAAGGTAGCGTGGACCCTTCCTTGGTAACCAAGACTTTGAGCAGCAGCTAAAAACCCCAGGCAGCAGGGAAATGCAGGGATGGCCCGGAGCGAGGAGACTATTTTAAACCTCGTTTAGGTTCCTGGATTATTATTATTCTTTTTAAAAATAAATTAAAAACACAGCTTTAGACATAATCTGAAAGACTCGAAGCGCATCATCCGTGCGCCCTCCCCCGATCAGCCCGCCAGGAGCCCCCAGGAAATGCTCCTTCACTGCAGCTTTGTTTGCGACTCATACTATAATAATAATAATAAAAACCCCATAAAAATAAATCCACAGATCCAGGCATCGGACAAGGAGAATTCACTTTCAGCCGCGCGGGTCGGGGCAATGACGCGGGTGAAATGGAGTTAGAAGGAGCCAGTTCTTTAGATCCCGGAGCCAACCCCCATTCGCAGGTCCGAGCCCCAAGTCCTGATCAAATCCAGCTTCCCCTCCTCCCATAAAGTCCCCCCCCCAAGCCCCAGCACCCGCAGAGCGTGTCCCCAGTGGCAGCGCCCAGACACAGCGCCCCTCGGACCGCACCGCACCGCACCGCACCGCACCGCACCGCACCGCACCGCACACGCGTTCTCGCTCGCAACACGCCCAGACACAACACTCACACATGGCCAGGCACCGACCCACGGAGCCCGGCACACGCGGGACCTCGGGACATGCACCAAGCAGCACGAAGGGAAACAAATCCACGGGGGCGGGCGGGGCGGGGGAGGTTAAACAGCGCCTCCAGGGCTCCCCAAAGGGGGCAAAACTCCGATTAGGAAAAGTTTCCAAAGTGAAAGAGTGAAAGGCGCTGGGGGAGGGGAGCTGCACAGGATCAGACCCCGGCTAGCTGGGAAGTGGGAGAGTGGAAGCCCCGGGCTGTGGTGCACGCTCGCAGTGCACACGCGGGTCTCTTGCACACACGCCTCTGGAGGTGTCACGGTGCAAGGCAGCGGCAGCTCTCCCCATCAGCCCGGTGGGAAAGTAGCCCTGGAGCGTGGCTCCTGCAGGAGGGGCTGGGAGGGGGCAGGGAGCAGAGGGATCCGGCGTGGGGAAAGGAGCCGCGGCTGCCTCCTGCCCGGGGAGGGAGTTGGGGCGACGGGCTCGTCCCCTCCCTCCTTGCTGAATATTCAGCGCTCTCCCCTAAGCGCGCCAGCCCCCTCCCCCTTACCTGCTCTCCCTGAGCTCTGAGCCATGGTTCCTTTGCCTAATGGTCCGTCTCCCCGGGACTGCTCCAGCCCAATAGATCCGCCGCGGCCTTTCCTCGCTGCTTCTCCTTCCCGCTTGGGTGTCTTGCTTTTTTTTTTTTTTCCCCCGCTGACTTTCGAGATCTAGGCGCAACCACCCAAAACTAAACGGTTTAGATAACAACACACGCACACCGCAGCACCGCCACCACCACCACCAAAATAGCCAGCCACAGAGGAAGACACGCCGCTCTACTGAGCCGGGACAGGCTAAAAGGAGGGGAAAATAAATAACAATCAAAGCAAATGCAGCGGGGCTGCTTGGAAAAGTGGAGAGGGACTCACCTGCTCCACCGCGCCTGGGCTGAGCAGGCGGGGAGCGGGCTCTGTGTGTGAGGGGGGGGAGGGAGGCAGCCCCCATGCTTTGACTCTGATCCCCCCCGCCCCACCCCAATCCCTTTCCTGGCTACCTGTGGGGAAGCCTTGTTGCAACAGCAGATTAATTTGTTGTCTTATTACCATAAAAATGTGCTGGGAGATGGGGCTGGCAGGGAAAGGGACAGGAGATGAGGCAGGGCTGAGGAGGAACTTCCTTGAAGTTTAAAGGGAGGGGTTTTGTGTGTGTGGGTGTGTGTGTGTGTGTGTGGTGGGGGGCGGGAGTTGGATCAGGGTCTGTGTGTGTTGGGGTGGGGGCGAGTTTAGCAGAAGCGAAATGAATGCGGATTGGTTCGAGGCCGATTTTCCGACCTGCAAAAAGAGGAAGGGAGGGAGGGAGGGGGTGGACAAGAAGGAGGGGTTCCAAGCAGCAATGCAGCCCACCTCAACATCTGGCCGACACACAACTCCGAGGGGGCACAGCTGCAAGGCGGTGGGGGGCTAACCCCTCTGTCGGAGTCAGCAACCTTGCCAGGGCTTCCCCTTCTAAAGATCTGCTGGGCTCGGATACATTTAAAGACAGTTTTATGAAGTCTCTGCCAGGCTCGTGTCTGCGCTTGGTGGTGGGCATCTATCTATCTATCTATCTATCTATCTATCTATCGTCTTTTCCTGGTCCACACTGTCACCCCTTAGGAACCCTGTTAAGACCTAACAAATCAAAAAAGAAGAAAGAAAGAAAGAGAAAAACAAATCTTCAATGCTAAAGACATCACTGAAAGAGTATTTTTCTTTCTCTTTCTCTTTTTCTCTCTCCGTTCCATCTCCCCATTGATTGAAAGTCTCTCTCAGCTTCAACAAGGAGTCCCAGGAAAAATGAACCATTCTGCTATCGATTCTTCATTAAAATTACATTTCTGCATTTGCTAAATTGGTTTTAAAAAGCTTCCCCTGTTATTATTGTCTTGTCAGGGCCGACGGTGCTGGGCAAACAGTATTTAAAAGCTTGGGATTTCTCCAGAATGAGTCCCCCCTTCCCCCCCCCCCCCCCCTGCGTAGAAAAAAATCCCCCCCCCCCCCCCCCCAGTGCTTAGGAAAATATTAGCAACATATCTAGATATAGATATATAGATATAGATATAGATATAGGTATAGATATAGTTTATCCCCAGGGGAAAGAAGGCAAGAGACAAGTGCTTCATTGTGAAAAAATAGAAGGGTGGAATGAGACCTTTCCTTCACGACACTTAAAAATCATTGATTGGAGCTTCAATCACAACAAAACAATAAAAGTTTTTTTGGTTTTTTTAATATTACAAGGAGAGGCAATCAGAAGTCGGCAGCGGCGGGAGTGATTATTTTCCCAGGTCACCATCAGAGCCGCTTACTTTAAAACAGGCACTAGCATTG